ACACACACACACACACACACACACACACACACACACACGAAATAAATATTTTAAAAATGAAACATCTTAAGCCAGGCGTTGGTGGCGCATGCCTTTAATCCCAGCACTCGGGAGGCAGAGGCAGGTGGATCTCTGTGAGTTCGAGACCAGCCTGGTCTACAAGAGCTAGTTCCAGGACAGCCTCCAAAGCCACAGAGAAACCCTGTCTCGAAAAACCAAAAGAAAAAAAAAATGAAACATCTTAAAGATATTTATTTGAGGGGCTTTTTTTGAGAGAGAGAGAGGGAGAGAGAGACAGAGAGACAGAGAGAGCACTTCACTATGTAGTCTAGGTTAGCCCTGAGCTCACAATCCCCCATATGCTAGCCCTTGAATGCTAGAATTACAAGTATGCACCATATCTCAGCTGGGAAAAATATTTGAAATGTAAACAAAAATATATGTACATACTAGCTATTACTAAAAGAACACAAAGATATTATATAGCTTTGGTCACAGCACTCTTTAATGCCGGGCAGAAGCAATTTAGGGGATGAACAATATTGCTACTCACAGTTTGAGAGGGATTTCAGTTCATCATGGTCCCAGGATTAGCTCTATGGTAGTTTGAAGGGATGCAGATCGGTTCAAACTCAAGTTGTCAAGCCTGCCTGGTGGCAGACAACTTAACTGCTAAGCCACCTTTCCGGCCTAATGTTTTGCTATCCATCTGCTGCTTCTATCTACCGATGTACTTGCTATTTGTTCTTTCTCTTTTGCTTGCTCCATGCTTATCAGACTCACTTACTGAAAACAGAAAGCACAGCTGCTATAAATGACTCTCTGGACCTTTCAGAATAGTAGTGTGGACATGGACCCACACATGCACACACGCACGGGGAAGTGGGCAGCAGATGCTGAGCACCTTCTTCAGTCACTCTCCACCATACATATGTGTGTGCTTGTGTGTTTTGAGACAGGGTATCTCTATCTAGTCCTGGCTATCCTGGAGCTCAATAATGTAGACCAAGCTGGTCTTGAACTCACAGAGATCTACCTGCCTCTGCCTCTGCCTCTGCACCTCTCTGTCTCTCTGTCTCTCTGCCTCTCTGCCTCTGCCAAGTGCTAGGTTTAAAGGCATGCACCACCATGCCTGGCTCAATCTTATATTTTTAGATAAGGTCTCACCACCTGCAGCTCACCAGTTAGGCTAGGCTGGCTGGTCAATGAGCTCCACAGATACACCTGTCTCCACCCCCTCTACCCAGGGGTTACAGACATGTAATACTACAATGCCCAACTTTTACAAGGGTGCTGGGGATCTGAATACAGGTCTTTGGGCTTAGCAGAGCTAGTCTAGCTATCAGCTTGTTCTAGGAATCTGAGATTCCAGGTGGGCTGTCACACCCAGCATTTATATGGCTAACAATTATCTACTGAGCCATTTCCCTATACCCTACTGTATTATTTTTAATAGCAAAAATTATAAATAGTAAAAGTGCCTCATAATAAGTAACAAAAGGACTAAACAGGGTTCAGATGTCAATGCAAGACACCCATTAAACTGCACAGGAATGTAGAGAATTTAGGAAAGAAAACTTCATATGATTCAATGAAATAATTTTAATATTTAATATTTAATTAAATTATACTTAATTATACTAAATTATATTTAATAATTTTAATATTTAATATCTATATAGATAGATAGATACCTACATCATGTTTATATGTACATATATCTTTTGTTTTAAAAACCCAGAGCATTACATTATCCACCAAATCATGGAAGGTAAGCAAAAGGGATTGGTTAAAGGGAGATCCATTTTTTTTCCTTTTCTAGGGGGAAGGGGATTTGAAACTGTGTAGCTCTGGCTGTCCTGGAACTCACTATGTAGACCAGGCTGGCCTCAAACTCACAGAAATCTGCCTGTGTCTCTCTTTCCCAAGTGCAGGGATTAAAGGCGTGTGCCACCATGTTTGGCTTGGGAGATTTTTTTCCCCCCTGTATTTTTCTGACCTGCATTTTGTGGGTGGAGGGAGTAGTGGGGGCGAAATCCCAAGCATTCTATCATTGAGCTGCATCCTCAGCTGGCCTTAGTTCTTTTACAAGTATGTGGTAATTTTTAATTAAAAATAAAGGAGCCAAGCATGGCAGAGCACATCCTTAACCCCAACAGAAGCAGACGGATCTCTATGAGTTCTAGGCCAGCCTGGTCTAAATAGTGAGACCCTGTCTCAACAAACAAACAAACAAACAAACAAAGGCCAGGCATGGTGACATGTATGTGTAATCCCAGCAGTGGGAAGGCAGAAACAGGTGGATCCCTAGGGTTCCCTGGCCAAGCAGTCTAGATAACTTGGTGAGTTTCAGACCACTGTGAGCACCCTGTTTCAAAAACAAGCAAATAAACAAATACAAAATACCTCTCTTATAGATCCTCCATCCCCCAGAACTGCAGAAGGCAGAGACCATTTCATGAGGTAACTCACCCTGAAGTCCTCCCCCGGGAAGGACCTTCGACAGACGGTGCAGGTAGCTGATGCAAAGGACCCATGAGCTTCAACCAGCTTGGAGACAGGGATGCCAGACGCTGAAATTCAAAGGAAACCCCAGTGTTCCAGCCTCTGTGATGGCTATTCACGCACACAAGCACAACTTCTGGGCTTACAAAACTAGGTTTCAAAAAGACCGTGTGGCTGGTAAGTGAACAGAAAGAAATGTCTCAGTCAGGTGTGGTGGGGGTAGCCACTGCTGTTTCTGTGCTTCCTGAGCTGTAGATTCCTTCTTAGAGGAATCCTGTCCTTTGAGTAAGATGCCACCTTTCTTTAGACCACAGCACCACCACAGACAACAGAGTGGCTGCTGTTCACTGACTACTGCCATGGACGCATACTGCACCTTGGGGACACATCGGCAAATTCTCCCTCACTGCTGCTGTCACTGTGTGAAACAGAACCAAGACATGTCTGACTGACCTGGACAACACTGAGTTGTGGGCGGTCCTTCAGCATAACGGCCTGAGCTCTGCTTTCACAAGGCTGTATCTTCCAGATACCCAGAGATATTTAGACACTGTTTCTATATTAACACTATGATGTGGGGGATCTGCCTGAAAAAAATCTGAGGGTGAAAGAGGGGATGGGGAAAAACAGAGAACAAGGCCAGGCCATGTGTCAGTAATGGAAACTGAGGGAAAGGACATAAGGGTTCCTTAGGAGGGAGGGAGACACAGAGGAAAGGAAAAAGAGAAGAAGAGGGGAGAGGGGAGGAGGAAGACAGAGAGATCCACTCCAGATTCAAAATAATATGACCTTTAGTTCCATCCAAAACTCCAACAACCCAGAAGGTGTGTGGGAGGCAGGCCTACAGAGAGGTTTCAGCTGTAGTCTCAAACACAGACTCAGTAAAGACGTGAAGCTGCCTGGCAACAGTCCCATAGGCAGCCCTCATTAGAAACAGGCACAGACATGCAAGGAGAAGAGGCTCACCTCTCTCAAGTCCATCAATGTTCTGTGTGTAGAGCCGCAGAAGCAGTTCCTTGTCGTGAAGCAATCGAAGGAAGTAGTGAGTGACATTAGGCCTATAGTGCCCAGGGTACAGCTCCTTGGCCAAGGTGAAGAAGGGCTTGGGGTTGTGAAAGAAAAAGCCAAGTTCAAAGATGGCCTCAGGGTACGGGATGTCATACTGCTGAAGGTTGCTGTAGAGACCACTTCCCGGGGATCTGTCGAGACAGAAGGGGAAGGCTGAGCCCTGCAGAAAAGAGTGGGGGGAATGATATCAGAGGGAACTGCACTGTACCTGAAGTCCGGGATGCCACTGGGTGTGCTGATGCCAGCCCCCACCATGACCACGACCCTCCTGCAGGCTCTGGTACGAAGCAGCTCAGCTACATCCTTCAGAGAGAGCTTCACCTTCTCACTGTTGCCCCCACATCCAAAGCTGCCTGAGGCGCCCACAGAGAGGGATATGGGCCTTCTCCCACCTGTAATACTGACAGCAAGAGCACAAAGAAAGGCAGCAGGTGGCAATCAGTCTTACGCTAGCAAGAGTAACAGCGCTGTACTCTTCTCACCGTCAAAGGTGGGCACGCACTTCTCCCTAGTACCACCCAAACAATCGCTTCCTCGCCATGCATAACTACCAACTAAAGCAGAAAGCCATCTTGTATCAGAATTGAGATTTATTTGGGGGCAAAGAATTTCTGTTTGACAGATACTGTGTGCATCAGGGAAGCACCACCACAGCTTGGATGCTCTGGAAAGGCCACTGCTGGGACAATTCTGTAGGCTGACTAAGGAATTAGACCGTTAAGAGTTGGACTGTTGCAGATCAAGAGCTAAACTTACCTTGGGCTATCTTCAGACCCTTGGATAGGACACCAACATCCTTTTGATTATGAAGGAAGACCTTTGGAATGCATTGACTTCAAAGAACACAAGCTTCCACTAAATCATCAAGAGCTAAAGATGTCATTAAGTAGTATCTGAAACCTATAGCAGAGATTTACTGCTTGGCTGTAACCTACCTACCTGATGTCCCCACCAATATATTCAGTAAATACACTAATTTCTGACTATTTTGTGCTCTGTGGCCAAAAGTTTGTATAACTCCTTCCATGAGAGAGATTTTACTTGGGGTAACCCTAAGCCGTGTTCCCAGGGCATGGTCTCTCATACTGAGCTCAGAATAAACCATGCCTTATTCCCTTTGAAGCAAGAGCTGTGCTTTGTGTCAACAGTATAGGCACTCAATGTGAGACACACACACACAACCCCCCCAGGGATGATCCAGTCTCTTAGAGGAGTTATCAGGATCAGCACCAGGTGCCAGATGGGGCCTTCTGTTCCCAACTATCTGTATCACCTTCTTGGATAGAGTCCTCCCTGGAGTCTAGAGTCTGGACCTGCTTTTGTTTGACTGATGGTCCACTCGCTTATCTGAGCATTGTCCTGGGTAGCCTCTGGCTGTTGTGGAACATCTGTAATACAGCATTCATCAGAATCTTTGCTTCCCAGTATTCACGCTTTTTCTCCCAGAACTCCTGCCTTTTTTATTCGTCTCTGACTCTGGCTTATTGCAAACTAGCCCCTTTTAGTTTAGAAATCTTATGAAGGCCTAATCATAAAGATGGTGAAGATAAGAGGCACTTGTTCTCCCTAGTCCATCAATCAGGGTGGAGGTATCAAGGAGGAACTCCCCAAGAAATGCAGCAACCTCACAGAGAAGCCTAAGACAACTTACTTCGTTCCTGGGTTAGAAGTTGGCTCAACTGGGGAGACACACATAAGAGTTTATCACCCCATGTCCTGAGCTCCCTCACGTTCCTACAAGCACACAGGATAAGCCCAAAATACAGTGGGAGGAACTGACTGGTGAGAACCAAGGGAGCTGTTCCATAAGTGCACTTAACACTTAGTCCAAACGCATACCGTACCAGCAGGCAGAGCAGGTTACAGCTCTCAGGAGCAAAGACACCAATATGGAAAGTCTTTGGAGAAACCCTGCCAGTTGGTACTCCAGCTATTCTTACATTGGATAATTATCTAGTTCAAATAGCAACTATTTGAAAAAATGGGGACACTTAATATTTCTAAATTGTTTTTCTTTTGTATACAAAACTAGAAGTACTAGGTAACAGAAAAGAAAAATGGACAAACTAAATTAGAATGTCAAAGCATCTAAGAGGAGAAATGATTTAAATTGCTGATTTCTATGAAATAAAAGTTTGGAAATGGACAAAACTTTTTAACAGATGTTAAAGGAAGAAATAAACAATAAACCTTTAGAGATTTGTTAGAAATTAAAGACAACCTCTGAGGAATCTAACTTCCCTCCACTATAGCCTCTTTTTTGTTTGTTCTTTTGTTTTTGATTTTTTGAGATAGGCTTTCTCTGTGTAGTCCTGGCTGCCCTGGAACTTTCTCTGTAGCCCAGGCTGGCCTTGGCCTCACGGAGATCCATCTATCTCTGCCTCCCAAGTTCTGGGATTAAAGGCATATGCCACCACTGCCTGGTGCCTCTTCTTTATCACCCTATCCTGTCTTAGCCAGTAATCTCCAAGAGGAAGAAAATTCTGTATCACAGCCAGTGAGGCAGTGCATCCCTTTAATCCCAGTGCTTGCAAGGCAGAGGCAGACCTTTGCTATTTCTAGGCCAGCCTTGTCTACACAGAAGCTAAAAGCAAAAACAAAACAAAACAAAAATTCTGTATCAAAGGAAAAGATTGTTATAACCTCTGTGGTAGATTGAATAATAAGGCCTCCATAGGCAAATATATTTGAATGCTTAGTTATCAGGAAGCGGCACTTCTTGAGACAGATTAGGAAATGGGCCTTATTGGAAGAAGTGTGTCACTGGGGGTGGACTTTGACGTTTCAAAAGCCCATGCCAGGCCCAGTCTCTGTGTGTGTGTGTTTTCAGGTCAGGATGAAACTCTCAGCTACTTCTCTAGCATCATTCTTGCTTGCACACTGCCATGTTCCCTACCATAATGATAATGGACTAAGCTCTGAAACTGTAAGCCAGCCTCAATTAAATTCTTTCCTTTATAAGAGTTGCCATGGTCATGCTTTCACTTCACAGGAATAGAACAATTACTAAGACAGCTCTTTTAGGATAAAGCCTACGTGCAAAGGACAATTGGGGAAAAGGTGGGTAGAGTTCTTCGACTCACATCACAAAACAGTGCCCAGAATCCAGAAATAGACCCACACATAATGATTTGATTTGCAACAAGCAAGGTATCCAGTGCTTTTCAATGGGGAAAGGTCTGTTGTGTTGCTGCTGTTGTATATTCAAATGCTGGAATAATTAGATGTCAATATGAGAAAACAATAACATTTGACACCCTCCTTCGCCACAAACAAATACTGATTTGAAATAAGCTCAGTACACTGGCACATCCTGTAATCATGGCTACTTAGGAGGCTGAGGCAGGAGGCCACTTAAGACAGAGTTCAAAACCATCCCTAGCAATACGGCAAAATCACATCTCAAAAGATAATGCATCATAGTACAGAACCATAAGATTTCTAAGAAAAATCACAGAGGAATATTTTTATGACCTTGGGATTGCAAAGAATTGCCAACTCTATAAGAAAATAACAATAAAGTATAGCACCCTCAAAAAAAAAAAAAAAGATAAAAAGATGTAGCCTAGAGGAAGAAAACCTGGGATGGAGAATTTGTGATGAAGGGTTTCCATATATATATACGATCTTATTTTCCATAACAACCCCAATTCCCTCTCCCTCCCAGCCACCCATGCTCCCCACTAACCCCCCATCCCATCCCCCATCCACTCCACAGGGAGGGTGAGGCCTTCCACGAGAGATCATCAAAAATCTGTCAAGTCATTTGGGGCAGGGCCTAGGCCCTCCCCGGTCTATCTAGACTAAGAGAGTATCCCTCCATGGGGAATGGGCTCCTGAAGTCCATTCATGTACTAAGTAAGGATACATCCCAGTTCCACTGCTTGAGGCCCCATATACTGCCCAGGCCTCCTAACTGACACCCACGTTTGGGGGCCTGGTTTGGTCCCTGACTTCAAGCTCTACTATAGAGATATAGTAATGAAAACAGCTTGGTATTGGCACAAAACAGGCAGGCAGACCAATGGAATCGAATTGAAGACCCTGATATCAATCCACACACCTATGAACACCTAATTTTTGACAAAGAAGCTAAAACTTTACAAAGGAAAAAAGAAAGCATCTTCAACAAATGGTGCTGGCATAACTGAATGTGGACATGCAGAAGATTGCAGATAGATCCTTATTGCCATGCACAAAACTTAAGTCTAAATGGATCAAAGACCTCAACATAAATCCAGCCATACTGAACCTCTTAGAAGAGAAAGTGGGAGGCACCCTTGTACGAATTGGTACAGAAGAACACTTCCTGAACATAATGCCAGTAGCATAGACACTGAGATTGACAATTAATAAATGGGACCTCCTGAAACTAAGCTTCTGTAAGGCAAAAGACACAGTCAACAAGACAAAACAACAGCCCACAGAATGGGAAAAGATCTTCACCCCACATCTGACAAAAAACTCAAGAAGCAAGTCACCAAAACACCAAATAATTCAATTAAAAAGTGGGGTACAGAACTAAACAGGGAATTCTCAAAAGAGGAATCTGAAATGGCGAGCCACCAAAACACCAAACAATGAAATTAAAAAGTGGGGTACAGAACTAAATAGAGAATTCTCAAAAGAGGAATCTGAAATGGCTGAAAGACACTT